TCCAAAAATTTATGCAAGCTCATTTTTGCGATATTACCGCTGATTTAACTAAAACATTCTTAATGATCAAAACATTTATATTTTAAACAGAATAAATATTCCAATATGAAAACATTTTTAGGTTATCAAAAAATATCCAACAAATGTTTTAAACAATAACCGCTCAATCAATTAATGTATATAAAAATAAATTTCTAGTAAAGTTGTATTATAAAATTCATTCTCGTGGACAACACGTGAAAGATGTTTACGTTTTATAGAACGTAATATATTAACATTCATGCAATGTTTTAAAATTTAATTAGTTAAAAATAAATGTATAAAACTAACATATTAATAATTTTTACTTACCACAACAGATTAGATTTCTACTCCATGCAGTAAAATTTCGGCACGTGAAATTAACAACAAACATGCACACGAACGCTGGCGATGTGGCGATTTAACAGATAGAAAAAGTCGCCACACTGATTGAAAAAAGTAACCCATTTTTCGTTGCCACCGGGAAGATAGGACCTTCACTTCCTCTTGCGGGTTCCTCTTATCTATGAAACTCCGTTGAGTATTACTATATGTTGCCATAGTATTACTATATAAGGGAAGTTTAAAATTCCTTGTCCACGGCGGCCCATTTTAAATTCATTTTGTTCTTTGAAATGTGGCTTGCGCAATAGCTCGAAGCGATGCATGAGATTTTCTCAACCAATCACATTCAACTTATCAATGCCGCCATGTTTACTAAGGCTAGTGCGTTTTGTTGGAATGTTAACTTGATGGAAATAATAAAATTATGATAACTATGAAGTAAAACAATAAATTAACTCAATTTTAATTATTACCGTGAAACATTGTGTTCTGAAATGGATAAAAGATCGCTTCACAACAAGCGTAAAAAGAACTCTTCGAGGACACATGAGCGCTCTAACCAAGTAAATCTATTTTTTTTGTCTCACCAATCTATTATATTACTATTTGACCTCAAATTAGTTTCTTACTCGTTGTTTTAAAACATGATCCATTTTAAAGAAAGTGTTCACAGAATTGTATGTTGTGTTTTAAAATTTCCAATATTACAGTATTTTCTATGTAATCAAATTCAGGACTATTTAAAACTTCATACATGTGCTGAACTATTATGAAGAATGCACTTAATTTTTTCTTGAACATTCGATATGAATTTAAATTGAAGAATTAATTATAGAAATCAAAATAATTTACTCGGCATTAAGTCATATTAAGGCATCGGTTTCAGCTCCGTAAATTGCCAAAAATATAACTGTAGCTTATTTTGGTTAATTTCGCAGTCTTTTTTTATAATTGTGATTTTTTTTTTGAAGAATGCTTAAAAAAGTATTATTTACCGGGAAAAAAATCATGTTAATGTCTAAAAATTTTCAGTCATTCCTTACCTTTAATATTGTAGGAAAAGAGAAACCAATTTAAAATTTACTTAGTTGCTAAGTATTTATATCATTTCTGGTTTACGAATTTTATACTTTACATATTTTATTCACTTTTACCTGTATGAATACTTGACTTGTAAAAAGAAAATAAGGATATAATAATCATTTGTTTGTAAGTGAGAGTGAAAGGCTTGCACAAAATGTAAGTTTGTTTCCAAATAAGATCTTTCCTGTATAAAAGTTTTAAATCTTAATTTGTAAGCAGTAAATAAAATTTGACATGCGTTAGACATTTGCATTAAGCGCCTAGTATGCCTCTATTCAGGTGTGTTTGCTTGTTCTAGTTGTAAACAAAAAACTACCAAGTAAGAGTGAAAGGTTTGATTTAACCCAAGAAATATCTGGTTCATTGTTAAAACTAATTGCAAAAAAAATTTTTTTTTGCTTAAGTTTTTTTTTTTCCTTTTAAATTTAATTTACCTTATTTTTTTTAAAAGGTAGGTTTTTATGTGACAATTTTAGAATATAATGACAAATTAATTTCAAAGTAAATTCAACTACCCATGACAATTAAGGTTTTTGGTTTGATATTTGTACAATATATAGTAATGAACAAACAATTTCCTTGAAATAAATTAATCTAAGAATGATATTTTATTTAATCATTATATGTATAAAATTTGTAATGTCCTATAAAATGAAATAAGTTTTTTTTTTGTCTGCTCTAAAATGTTATTAAAAAATCTTTACATCCTTTGCAATTCAATCAAAATTCTAAAAAACTTGAATTAAAACTTGACCTGATGTAATTAACAGTTGAAAGATTAACTTTTAAATTTCTGACATACTTGATAATTGATTCAAAATACATTTCATGTTTTTTCTATAATTTTATACAACATTTGTAAGAAACTTACGATGCTTTTATTTTAATCATGATCATATTTTCTACACTCAAAATTTCTGCTCTTTTAATTATTAAAGTAGAAACTATTCCTGGCATTTTAGACTTGAACAAAACCATCTTTTGTGGTTCTGGATTGTTTTCAATCTATTTTCTTTAAGATGAAATTGTAATATTTGCTGCAATTATAATGTTATAATCAATGATATTTAAATATTTAAAGTACATTATATATTGTCTAAATACTAATTCAAAAATATGATCTAAAGTCTGAGAGGATTTGTATAATTAGGTATTTAATATTATTTAAGAAAATTTTTTATTTTTTAAAATAGGATGAAAGTAAATTAACTTCAAAGATTATTTAATGTGTGGGATTGACAAATCTCTCATGCTAGGTTGCTGGGCGGCTGGAAAAATTGCCCTGATGACTAGTTTTTTCAATATATATATTATTAAACTATCTATTATAAGCAGAGGGAATATTTGGGAAATAAAGTTTAAATTTTTTTTTTGTTCCAGAAAAATTCAATCAATGGATATTTTTTAATGTTATAAAATCACAATTCTAGAAGTCTGCTCCTAAAATTTAACAACTTTTGTCAGTCTTTGTTTATAATTCAAAAATGTAAATTATGTTGTTTAGCGGTAAAATATTAGTTTATTGTTGCACAGAATAAAATAAGAATCTCTTGTACTCTTTTAAATTTATTTTTGTTCATTTAAGGAAGATAAAAAGTAAGAAAGACTTAATGTTTTTTAACTGTAAAATAATAAATATAAAAAATGTTTTTTATTTATTCAGAATTAAATGTTAATATCATTGTTAATATTATTAATTTGTTAAGGTTGGAATAATTAAATAGATTTATAATGGTCTCTCATATCGGATGTATAACGGTCCATACCAACTTGAAAGCTTTTTTTCTACAATTTCAGGGTTGGGTTTTTGACGTCAAAAAGTGGTTTTTGACATGACAAGGGTATAATACTGGTTTAAACCGTCAAAAACCCGTCAAAAATGTCAAAAACTAAAGTTTGCCAAAAAAAATATATAAACTTCAAAACTACCAACAGTTGCCATGCATTATATTGAAATTTAATTATACTATAGGTAATCAGCAGGTTTTAAAATATTTTTTAATTAAAATTAAGGTAAAATAACAGATTTAAAATCTCAGAAATTTATATTCAAATGCATGTGCAGAAAAATTTTGCACAAAATTTTTTTAAATATTTATATTTTGAAAAAAAAAAATTTTTTTTTGATACTTAAGAAAATTAAAAGTTTATTACTATGCATTTTTGACATATAAGGAACATATAACTAATATTTATAAGGA